ATTTTGGACTGAACTAGATGCATCTGCATCCAGATGCACCATCAAGACTCACCCTCATTTGGGTGAGAATTTGAGATGAGTTTTTAAAAAATCAGTTGGGTGATCCATCTAGATGTAGCATTTTTATGTACAAAACGAACATTGATTTGAATCTTCACCCAGATGGATCACCTGGGTGAGCAAACGAACAGCACCTTATTTGTTTGGTACCTTTAACTTCTTCTTGTTATGTGTTGAGAATGCCATCTGATAGCTGAAGGTAGGCTAACTTTTATAATGTTAATCTATTGCTATTTAGGAAGTTTGTTTGTTCCGGCAACAAACAACTTCACTATCGAACATAGGCATAAACACATTGCTATTTGCAAATATCTTGATCAATGTACATTTCAAAACACACTATTAAACTATCTCAAGCCATGGCAGTGGAAGGATACAAGGCAACTCAAGCCTGTGTAACAGTGTATGAATTCCTTCGATTAGAACATTTCTGGTCTATTTTTCTGTATCAATTCAGTACTATTTTTTGTCTAAACATTTATAATCGATTATTTTTTTTCTTTAAAATAGAATAAAATTTATTTGATCTTATTCAACGTTTTGTTTAAATGGAGTATGAATATAATTTCTATGTTTTTGTTTTTTTCACTTAATTGATTTTTTTTATTATAAAACTAAAATAGAAATAAGATTAATGAAGATTTTACTCTAGAATAAAGTTTTAAAGTAGAAAATAGAATGGTTATAAAATATGTTTTGCATCATGTTAACATAATTTTTCGTTATTATTTTCTTTTATAATTTATTATTTCCATAACAAAAAACTTTTAAATTTTCTTGATAACTAAGAGTTTCCTTTTCGTAATTATATTTTAATTAATTAATAACTTATTTTTTTGTTTAAACAAGTTATTCTATAATGAGGCTAATGCCAAGTCCTTTTTATTTCTCTCCGTAGCTTTCCATTATCTCCCTCGCTAGCTAAAGACATCTTCAACTCAACTCTATTTTTACTCTAAAATAGAGTAAATGAAGAGTAAAAAATATTCCAACCTTTCTCTATTTCCCATTTCAAAATAGAGTTTATTCTATAAATGAAGTAATCTTATTTTTCTTTATTCATCACTCTATTGTGGAGTGAGAAATTGAGTAGGATTGAAACATTTCTACTCCATATTCCATTTTACTCCATTTTGGAAGAAAAAATGAATTTTTTCATGGAGATGCTCTAAAATCTTTATTATATGGCTAAAATTTCTTTAAGTCACACCTTTCTCTCTCATCAACTCAAACGATCATGATTTCAAATTCTATCCCTACTGATGTCAACATCGAGATATTGTTGAGATTACCAGCAAAGTCCATAACTAGGTTTTGTTCCGTGTCGGAGTCAAAGGCAGGGCATCAATAATAGATCATCCACAATTCAAAGAATTTCACCTCATATTCGCCGAAAAGGGTAAGTGGAACATCTTCTCTTTACCTCAGCATCTGAGTCCACACGAGAAGGCTTCATCGTCATTGTCGCTTGTAGTAATCCCCGAGTTTCATATGAAGTTCCCTCCAGACAATATGCTGATCATGCCTAGTGATAACCGACAATTCACATGTGGCCAAGGGCGAAGCTACGTTGTAGATTAGGGTGCACGTGCACCCATTATTATTTAGGTTTGAAATTTTTTTACATTAGACATACAAGGTGGAAGTGGCTTAATTGGTCAAGGTGCACCCACAACTTTTGAAGAACTTGAGTTCGATGCTCCTATTTTAACTTATAACATTATATTTAGTAATTATTTAATTTATATGCACCCAATAATAAATATGTCTGGCTTCTCTATGCCTTCGATTTGATCTATTTCTACCATATGTGGACCAATGCTAATAATAATGACGTGTCTGTGATATGTAACCCTAAAACAGGAAGGTATGACCCATGCCTTATATCTTAAGGTACAGAAATTCGTATAGCTTTTTGGATTTGATCCGAATGAAAGGAAATACAAGGTATTGCACATGTCTTATCCATGTTGTCTTAATGATCACAGAATTATGACATTAGGAACTAGATGAATGATGTGGAGAAAGGTCCAGTGTCCATTAAGACTTGTTAATGTGAGTGAAGGATTATGCATTAATGGAATGTTTATAACTTATGTGACACGTTTGACTGTGAGATTGAAGTGTTTGAGGAGGAGTTTAGACCTAGTTTTGTGATACTTTGCTTTGATGTCCTGTCTAAGAAGTTCAAATTTCTTTATCCGAAAAGCTTTTGTGAATTGATAAACTATAATGGTAAGTTAGGAGTGATTTACTATGATCTCACTGATGATGCCATTGAATTGCGTGTGTGGGTTCTAGAGGATGTGAAAAAACAAGAATGATAAAAATATTCCTATATTATGAGCAGTGGCGGACCTAGAATTAAAGTTAACCTAAGTAAGATTATGTACATAAAAAATAAAATTAAAAGGTATCACCATGAGGATTCATTATGTGGTTTAGGGGGGTCAGGTGGGGAAACTTACCAACAGAACTACTGATTTTTCATTGTTTCAGTGAACAAAATAATATTTATACAGATTTAAGAGGTGTCAGCTGACACTCTATTGGCCTATGTAGGTCCGACACTGATTTTGACGGGTGATAATCTCTTCCCGCATTATGCTTATGTGGTTGGAATGATTTTTACGGGTGAAATTATGTTGTCTATGG